CCCAGGGTGCCCCTGAAACAGCCCCGCCCACTTGCCCTTGGGGGGCTTGGAGAACTCACCGTGCTCCATGTAAGAGCTTTGCTCTCTCCTGCCTTATGGGATCGGAGCTCTCTCCCCTGTGTGACACCTCCTCGAGGGCAAATGTCTCCATGCCGGAGCCTTCTTGCCCCTGCAGTGGGCCTCACAGATGGTACCGCTCAGTACATAGTGGGTGAATAAATGATGAGGCTGATCTCGGGCAGCCAAGAGGGACCTCTACCCATTGTCGCGTCCTTTGCAGAAGACATACAGAGGGGTGGCTCCCTGGTATGGCACAGCGACCTTCTGACCTCAGATCCGTTTCCAGCCCAGATGTTGGATGTGTGCCTGCACGCCTGACCTTGACCTTCACCAAAATTCAGATTAGATTCATGAGGGATTCAAATGCTGGCCCATCGGGGGGCCTTGGGCAGTTTCCTTGTCTAACCCCTTCCTCCTGGAGTTGTAAGGGAATCAAATAAGATAAATGCTCAGTTCCCTACAGTCCAAGGAAAAGCACAATCTAGGAAAGAAGTAGGACTGTCACAGTTTGGGCAGGAAACACCGCAACCTGCCATTTCGCCAAGGTCTGTCTTTCAGCAGCTTAGCCCTTGGAACAGAGCTCGGGTGAAACTGCCCTGGAAGCTGCCCCTGGCCTGCATGCAGCCAGGCTCAGTCCCTCCCGCAGATGTAGCCTCTCTCAGCAATCCCATACCTGAGCTCTCCTTCTGAATTGTTCCCGACTCACAGCTCTCAGCAGATCAGTGAAGTTGAAAGCAGAGGGCTGTGGGGCCTGGTCATACAGTAAGATTCACTTTCGGAGTCACCTCTCAGGGAGCACTCCCTGACCTCCCCTTCATAACAACACCTGCCAACAACTACTCGATCCACTTTCTAACATTATTTGGGTTTTGACAAATATTTTAAAGTTGTTTGGGGTTACAGTGTTCTGAATCTGGAATCTAGATTTAGTCTGTACTGTTCAATGCGACTGCTATTGGCCACCTGTGGTTACTGAGACTGAAATTGAAATTAATTTAAGTAACATTTAAAAGTCAGTTCCTTAGTTTCACTAGCCACATACCAGGGCTCACTGGCCACATGTGGCTAGCAGCTACTGTATGGTATGGGCAGCCCAGATCTAGAACATCTCCACCATCACCCTGCTCTAGAAACTTCCTCTCCAGTCATCTCTGAGCACACGATCATCACCGCTGGGATATTAGTGTCCAATTGTTGAAGAAGCCCCAGGCATAAAACCTCCTTCATTTGCAAGGGAACGCCTCTTGCAATGAATCTTGATTACTTTTAAAAAATAAGGAAATGTATGAAGAATATGACTTTTCTGGGGTGATTTCCTACTACTTTTAGATGGAAGTCTAGAGCAGTTCTGAGTAAGAAAGCATGACTACACAAAATTTAAAAAAATAAGGAAAAACCCCACTAAAACCACAGCTTAAATAATGCTACCATTGTTATCTCTTCGGGACAGACTTTCATCAGCTGGCAGGCCCCAGGGCCACTTCTCTCTTCAGCAGGCACTCAGGGGCAGACCAAGGTCAGTTGTCATAGTCCACACCCAGCCCTACCTGGAGAGAGAACCCAGCCCAGTCTCCTGGTTCCCCAGGCAGGGCGTTTTCTGGCACACCCTTCCGCTCCCCTAGGCCAGCAGTGGGTCTCAGGACTTGGTGAGGTTTTAATATAGACCCATGGAGCAGAAATGGAGCAGCTGAGAAGCACAAGTGAAGCGGAGGGCAGCCAGCTCATGTGGTCCTGGCCCAGTGCTGGCTTCAAGCAAAGGGCCCCTCTGCCATTAGCCGGGAATGGCTGTGAACACCCGGCTTCACGCACCAGACCCCACGCTCAGCAGGGCCCCACATTTTGTTCAATGCGCTGCTACCATCCTGAAATTCTTAATCATTTTGAACAGGGAGACCTGCATTTTCATTTTGCACTGGGCCTCTCCAATTAGGAAGCTGGGCTTGTCTGCACACAGTGAGTGGGGAGAGCCCAGCTTGGGTTGCAGAGCCACCCCGGGAACTCAGGCATTTAGGGGTAAATGCTTGCTTGTTGCAGATACATCACTATTCAGAGAAACCGATGACACATAACAAAAATTTCTGTGTAGTCACTTTCTTTTACCTTAATGTTGACAGTTTATTCTCTTCCCAAACTTTTGCCTAACTTGATGTAAACAGGTAAAAACTAAGAACTGACAGATTCCTTAATGTCCATTTGAAGCAAAAGTTTCAATGTTTGAAAGTAAATCCAATCAGCAAACTTGTAATAATTTTTCATTCAACATGCCAAACGAGATAGTGTTCTTTATCAGAAAGCCATACCACATGCAATACATTTTTTTAAAAAAGGTTTTAAAATTGATTTTTAGAGAGAAAGGGAGAGAGAGAGAGAGAAACCCACACGCTTGGCTTTCCCTTCAGTGAGTGCTAAAGAGAGAAGCAGGGTCCATCTTGCATGTTCACATGATCCATGGAGACCCACTCAGCTCCCACCATGTCGCCTATAAGGACAAGATAAACAGCAAAAACTAGCGCTGTTTCCACCCTGGTTCTGGAAGGACAGTTAACACCACAACTGAAAGAATGTCTAGATGCTAAGAACCGTCCACGTGGAGAACAGGGCTGCGAAAGTGAGGGAAAGCACGACTGATGTCATTTCCACCTTTTTCCTTTCGTACACAGTACTGCCCGAAGAAACAAGTCCCCTTTTCTTCCTAAATTCCCACAGTAGAGAGTGCTTAATTCTATTAAAACATGCAAGGGGGGCCGGCCCGCGTGGCTCAGCGGTTGAACGTCGACCTACGATCGAGGTTCGATTCCCAGTCAGGGCACATGGCCGGGTTGCGGGCTCGGTCCCCAGCAGGGCGTGCAGGAGGCAGCCGATCAATGACTCTCTCATCATTGATATTTCTATCTCTCGCTCTCCCTCTCCCTTCCTCTCTCTGAAATCAATAAAGATATATTAAAAATTAAAATTAAAAAACAACAACAAAAAAAACAACATTGAAGGGAGCTGACCATAATCCAGGGCCACCTAACCCATACACCACCTTGAGTGAACTTGAGAAAGGTGCCCCCTCCAGGCAGAAGCAGCTCCCTGGCACCCAGCTCGGAGAGTGAATGGTTGCTTTGTGCAAGTTAGAAAGATTCCCCCCCACCCCATCTCCACCCCCGGAGATACAGCTTCCCGGCAGGCTGCAGGGCTTGGCCAGCAGGCGTGGGCTTGATGTCAGCACCCTATCCCTACCCGTTTGGCCAAGCACCCTTGCTCAGCCAGCAGCCTGTACAACCGCGCTCAGGGGTTCTGCTTAATCACTAACCGTTCAGCTGCTCTACCACACGAGGAAAGCAATTTGCCTGCCTAATTCCTATCACGGGCAATGTACTGAATCTAAAAGTTGTTGGGGAGGATTTCCAGAATGATTCAAAGAGGAACAGGCAAAGATTTGGAAAAGCCTCTCTTACCCCCTTTCCTCTTACTCGAAATATGAATGCGATGGCTGAAATTCCAGAGGCCACTGTGGACTCTGAGGTGACCTTAAGGCTAAGTCGAGGACAGTGGAGCAGAAAAGATGGAAGGACCCAGTCTCAGATGAAGGTGATCAGTCCCGGCTGCTAAGATCTGGAATTATTTTATCTGACAGAGAAATAAACTTCTATTCTGTCCACGCCACTGTGATTCTGAGATCTGGCTGTATGTTTCAGATATAAAACCTATTTGATATACTACTATAATCAAAACATTAGTATATTGACACAGAAAAGGCAACAAATAAATCAGTAGAACAGAATTTAAAAATCCAGAAATACACTCAAGTATTTATGGAGACTTCATATATGAAAAGATGACTGTTCAGTGTTTTACTTACTAAGTGTAACTGATATGTGGGCTATCTGTCTGGAAGAAAAAACTAAATCGTCCCTTGTATCATAAAGGAAATTAATTCCAGGTAGATGAGAGATCTAAATTTAAATGTAAAGAAATTAAATTAATAACAGAAAATGTATTGGAATATTTACATAAGCTTAGGTTGGGGAGACCTTTACTAAGAAAGCAGAAAACCAAAAAGCCATAAAGGAAAAGAGAGACATAAAAATTGTAAAACTTTGGTAGGAAAAAAACCACAAAATTAAAGGGCAGGTTGGGGAAAATACGTGTGCAACCCACCTGCTAATGGTATTGTCTATGGCAGGGTCTGCCAACATTTTCTATAAAGGGCCAGCTAGCAAGTATTTGAGGCTCAAGGTCCACACATCATAAAATAATATTCTTCTTTTGATTTTTTTTCTGCCATTTGAAAATGTAAAAACTATTCCTAGCTTGCCAGCGGAACGGTTGACTTGACATCTGGCCTATGATCTACAAAGGGCTCCCAAACCTAACGTCCCAAACTAAGTCATTTGTCACCTTTCCACTCCTTTTCTACCAAAATGCTCCAGATCCAGAAGAAAGACCTATCACTGTGGCTGGGACCAAGGTATAACTATGATAACCAGGGCGCCAGGTTCTCTGACGAAGCCGCCAACGTGGTGCCCAGATGACGGGGCTGAGAAGGGACCACACGCCTTCCTCTCCCGGGTAGGACACGGGATGTTTGGGACATTTGAGGGAATGTACACAACAGCACCTGCGCACCAATGCACGGGACTAAAGGGTGACGATCGTGCACCACGGGTCTTCGCCAACAGACTGGCACTGAGACGCGGTTTCGCCGCCAAGAGCTGGGGCACAAGCGCCTCCTGGCCGGGCTTGGGCTGCCTGGGAGAGACGCTGCGCAGCCGCCGTAGGTCGCTTCCACCGCCAGGCGGGGGCGCGCGCGCGCGGGTTGGAGCGTGTGCGCACGCGCCCTCGGACGCGCGCGGAGTCCCGGAAGCAGGAGCTGAAAGCTGAGGGGAAAGGGTGGGGTTAAACCCAGGTCTCGCGCATGCGTGCGCTGCGCGAAGCGTTTGGCGGGTTTTTCCAGGCTGCTCCGTTATGTTCCGGTCACCGAGGTTCCGGGCGGTAGCGTTTAGGAAGTAGGCCGTTCTCTCCGGGAGGGCGACTTCTCGACCTTTGTGCTCCGTTCCTTCGGGCGTTTGGGGGCTTCCCCTACATTAAAAAAACAAAAGTGTTTCTCCGTGACTGACGTCTGAGGCCCTCTGAGCACCTGAGGTTTGGGGCTGTTTGGTCACCGTCCGTCTCAGCCTCCTAGAGGGCGAAAGGATCAGAGGAACCCCGTTCTGCTCACCGATCTCCACGCTTGTGGGTTTCTTGGACTCGGGTCGGAGCTGAGTGGACCCGTCCCGCCTCCTGGGTCGCCATGACCGCGTCCGTCCAGCAGCTGGCGAAGGAGCTGGAGATCTTCGGCGTAGACTGCGAGGAGTCTCTGACTGAGAAATGTGAGTCCCTCGCCCCCTCCCCGGCCCCCCGCCGGGGCCCACGCGCGGCGGCTCGGTATTGCCAGCCGCCTGGAACCCGAAGGACTTGATTGAAGCCAAGTCTGCGGAGATGCAGAGTTCTCGGTTTTAGAAATAGGGTGAATGTGCACCTGCCTTAACCATTCCTCAACACTTTGAACTTCTTTTTTAATATCAACGTGTTAATGTCTCATGAGAGACCAAAATACTCAAAGTTCTTATGCCCAGTGCATTCTCTTTCTAAAAGGAAGAGAAACCCAATGATAGTCAGAAGTTTATTATGTGAGCTGGAAGTCAAAACAAGAAATTAGTTGTGTGAACCAAATTTGTAAAGGCTTCAGCCCAAGGTGCCTGTGGCTTCCACCTCACACAGGACCACATGTGAGTGTGGGCAGTGGCCTTGTAGTTCTAGACTGTGAATGCATAATCGCTGACCTCAGTGGGACGTGACTATCACCGGCAGGCGTACATTTCCCTGGTCTGTTCACTCCCAGTCTTCCAGGTGACTGGTTCCCACCTCCTCCTCCAACATATTTCCCTCCCACTCTCAGCTGATGAATTGACTTCCTGTTTTGCTGAAAAAATACAAGCTGTTAGAAAACTTCTGGAGGCTACTACCATTACATCTTCCTTCCTACCTGTGTCTGTGCTGTATACCTTGCCTTCCTTCCTATTACCATGAATACATTCACCATATTCCTAGCAGAAGCCACACTTTCCACTTAAGTCCTAAATCCATTCCTTCTTGCCTTCTTAGGGACATCACTCCAGTAATTCTCCCCTCTTACAGTTGTGTTTTTTGTTTTTTTTTTAATTTTAATCCTCACCTGAGGATATTTTTTCCATTGCTTTTCAGAGAGAGCGAAAAGAGAGAGAAACATGGATGCAAGAGAGACACATCAATTGGTTGCCTCCCGCAAGCGCCCTAACTGGGCCGGGGATCCAACCTGTAGTCCAGGTACGTGCCCTTGGCGAGAATCCAACCCTGGACCCTCAGTCTGCAGGCCTACACTCTAACCACTGAGCCAAACCAGCTAGGGCCTCCCCTCTTATATATTTTGTATTTTTCTCTCTATAAGGTTTTTCCCCACTTCAGTTCTTTCCTTCCCAATTACAGCAAATGTCCTCAAAACAGTTGTCTATACTTGCTGGCTTCAATTTTCAAAGTCAGCTTTTTCATCTCAACCATTACACTGAAACTGCTTCTCTCAAGGTCATGGTGACTTTCATCTGGCTAAAGTCAGTGGTGAATTTTCAGTCCTCATCTGGAATTATCAGCAACATTTGACAGTGTTCCTCATGTCTTCTTGAAAACGTTTTTCTCTTAGCCTTTTGGACACTACTGGTTGTTTTCCCACCTTACTTGTTGCCACTTCTCTGGCTCTGCAGATTCATCCCCTCCTGTCCTGAGCCTCAAGATATTCTCACTTTCTTGGTGATCTCACCTAGTCTCATGGCTTTACATCCCTGTATTTCTGATGAGTCTCAAATTTATATCTTTGCCCAGACCTCTGGCCTGAACTTCAGGCTGGTGTGGCCAACTGCCTCCTTGATGTCTCCAATTGGATGTCTAATTGACATCTGGAACTCTACACTTCTTTTTTTTTTTTTTTTTTAAACATATCTTTATTGATTCCAGAGAGAGGAAAGGAGAGGGAGAGATAGAAACATCAATGATGAGAGAGTCATTGATTGAGCCCACAACCCGGGCATGTGCCCTGACCGGGAATCGAACCCTGATCGCCTGGATCCCAGGTCGACGCTCAACCGCTGAGCCACACCTGGCCGGGCTGGAACTCTACACTTCTAAGACTGAGTTCCTGGTATCTCCTCCCTCTCCTCAGAGTAGTTCCTCCTGCTGTCTTCCCCACCTTCGTTAATAGTGACTGCATCCTTCCGGGTGCTCAGGCTAAAAACACAGCATCATCTCCTTTCTTTAGACTTCACATTCAGTGAGCACATCCCACTGGCTTTACCTTTAGGATGTTTCCTATCCAGGGTCCCACCACTTCTCGCCACCTTCACTGCCACCACCTTGATCTAAGCCACCATCATCTCTCACCTGGATTTTACCAATCTCTTAGTTGGTTTTCCTGAGTCTGCCCTTATCCCTTTTAGTCAGTGGAAGTCAGATCATGTTACTGTTCTGTTCAAACCCTCTAGCAATTTTCCAACTTGCTCCGAATATTACTCTGGGATAATTGCATTGACCAACAATCTGCACCGCCTTTCCCCACTAACTTCTGTCTCCTTCCTCCCTGCATTCCAACCACAGTGGCCTTGCTGATCTTGCTGGGCAGGATTTTTGCCCGAAAGCTCTTCCCTTCAACACTGCATGACTCAGTGCTTCACTTCCTTCAAGACTTTACTCAAGTCTTCTTCTCAATGAAGCCTTCCCTAATCGGTGTATTAAAAATTGCCAAGTCCTTCCCAACTCCCTGATTCCTCTCCTGGCTTTACTTTTTGACATAGCACATTTAGCCATCTGATCACTACATGTTTTACTTCTTTGCTTGTTTTCTGTCTCCCGCCAATAGTAAGCTTTGTGAAGACAAGAATTCTTCTCTGTTTTCCTCACTGCTCTATGCTCATGCCTAGGACAGTGCCTGGCACTAGTAGGTGCTGAATAAATATGAATTGAATAAGTAGAATTATTTTCCCTTTTCAAGGTGAAAGCTGCAAGAAATTAAGTTCTTACTTGTCCGATATTCCCTCCACAGTGGCAGAGCTGTGTGTTCTCTATGGACAGAATGAGGAGGAAATGGTAGCCGAGCTTGTAGCCTTCTGCACCAGCACGCAGAAAGATTGCTTTACCTCAGAGACCCTGAACTCTTTTGAGCATGAGGTAAGAGCACAATGTAAGGAACCTTATCATGAAATTCTCCACCTTTGCTCTATAGGGGAGGCAGTATGACATGTAGAGAAGAGCGTGAGCTTTGGAACCAGACTTGGCTTCCAGTCCCATTGTGAGCTTGGACAAGCTACTTAACGTCTCTGAGCCTTGGTTCCCTCTTCTGTCAGTGGTTCTAATAATCCATGTTTTTTAAGGTTATCATAAGAATTAAATGAAAATGGGTGTAAATCATTTGGGACTATGCCCAGCAGGTGGTAGGTCTTCAACAAGTAATTGGTGTTATTATTAGAATTGTTATATGTTGTGGAGAAACTGTCACAGAATAAGTCTTTATTTTTAGTTGATCATGAGCATCTTAATTCTCACTTTGAGGAATTTTATGTCTTTAATTATATTCTGAATGCCTGTTATTATCTCCTGACTGTGGAAAACACCTCTAATACTTGACTTTGGAATAATATATCCATTGTCTTTTATTCCTCAGTTTCTGAGCAAAAGGTTGTCCAGAATCCGTCACAGTGCCTCCAAGGACAGTGGACATGCGGGAGCCAGAGACATCATTTCCATACAAGAGCTGTATCCTTTCTGCTGAAGGTCTTTGCCTCAAGCCGTGCAGTCTGTTTTATAATTTGTTTACAGTTGCATGTGTAATTTAAAAACAAGAATAAAAAGTACCTACTGTTCAGGTTTCTATTTAGTCAACCCTTGCCTTAAATTTTGAGTGGAAGTTTATTGTTGTTTTTTCCTTTTTTAAAAAATTTTTTATTTAATTTTATTTTTTTATTTCTCAACCAAGGATATTTTTACTGAATTTTTCCATTGCGTTCAGAGAGAGTGGGGCTGGGGAGAGAAACATCGATGTGTATTGATTGGTTGACTCCCACATGTGTCCCAGTGCAGCCACCCGGGATCGAGCCTGTGATTGGTGTACATGCCAAACTGGGGCTTTTATTGTTTTTCTTAACCAATGTTTTTAGAATTGAAGTGGAGGAAGAAGAGGAGACCCTCTTGAATTCTTATACCACACCCTCTAAGGTGAGTTCAGTGTTTGGAAATTGCCTTCTACAGGTAGTGTTTTTTTTCTTTATTCTAAAAACATCATGACATTTGAAGTTCTGAGGGAGAAAATTAACTGCTCATAGAGTTTCTGTATATTTCCTACCACATTTCCTCTTATGCATCTTCCTTCCCTTATGCATGTATGTTTTTACATAATGACAGTCCTCGCGAACATTTAGTTATCCTGCTCTTTTCAGTTAGCGTATCATAGAATTTTTATAAATATGTTTTCTGTAACTACTCTTTTTAATGGTTGTATAGTTTTGTATCAAGTGGAGGTACTATAATTGAATAATCCAGTTCTAGTGTTGGATTCCAGCGTGACAGAGTAGGGTAGTGGAAAAGCTTTGCCCTTAAAGCCCGAGTCAAAAGACCTAGGTGACCTTGGGTGAGTTGTTTTATCTCTCTGAGCTGCAGTTTCCTTACCTATACAATTAGGATTCATTATTCCATTTACTGAGCAGCTACTATGTGCCAGGCACTGAACAGTGAAGGAAACAGGCATGGAGGGGCTCTGCCCTCCAGAACTCACAGCCAGGGAATAATAATCTCCTATTTCAGAGGGCTTGAAGATGAAATGAATATGTAAAGTATCAAGCCCAAAGCAAGGTATTCAGTAATAGTGGTTACTCTTCATACAAATTATAGAATTGTGCACCTGAAACTTATATAATTTTGTTAACCAGTAAATTCAAAAAAGGGGGGAAAATAAATAAATTTATGGGAATCCATAAACATGGAGTAAGCCTTAATTTTTCAAAGTAAATTACATTGTAAGAAAGAAGATAAATAGTTTAAGTATGCCTGTGGGGAGCAAGAAGGCTAATAATGTATCTGTGAAGTTGCTAACACAAAACCAGGTGCATATAATATTAAAGGGAGTAATAAGATTTTTCTTAGAGTTTATAAAATCAACACTTTATTTTCCCCCTAAAGGTAGTCCTCTCCTAGAGTCCACATCCCAGCAAAAGGCACCTCCATTCTTCTATTTGCTTGGGCCAGGAACTTTGGAGACCTCCTTGAGTCTTTCCTGTCACACCCCACACCAATTCATCCTTCAGTCACATCAGCCTTCCTTCCAGGATCTGGGCTCTCTCACTACTTCCACCACCAGGTCCCCAGCATCACCATCTCCTGAATGAGTGGGACAGCCTCCTAACTAGTCCCTGGCCTCTTTCTGCCTTGTCCATCTTTAACCAATTGTCTACACCGCAGCCAGACTGCTCCTTTCAAATGAAAGTCGGGCCTGGTTTTTCTTGTTCGCAGCTCTCCACCAGTTCTCCATCTTCCCTAGTAACTTAGTAACTTCAAAATTCAGAGTCTATGGGCGTGTGAGGTTCTGTCTGAGCTGGCCCCTGCTCCCTCTGGCCTCCTTCACCCTACTTCTCACTCTGGTTTCCTTGCTTTTCTTCAAACACACCAAATGGGTTCACCTCTATGTCCCCTTGTCAGAGTGAACAAACTTGCCTAAACTCGCAGCTCCCTCTTCTTTCTCTTTTTGATTTTTCTCCATGGAACTTACTCCCATGAGACACATTATATATTTACTCTTTGGTTTAGTCTGTCTCTCTCTATTAGAATGTAAGCTCCATGAGGACAGAGACTTTGCTTTAGTCACTGCTGTTCTCCCAGTGCCTGGCATATTAGTAATTGTTGAAGGACACACCTTCTGATAGAGGGTGATTGGGTGGCTCCCTAGGTAGCATCAAACAGAATTGCAGTACCTGTTGGGGCCACTGCCATGTTGATCTGATTGACAACTTCGCAGCTCCAGAATTTATCTGACTTGTCTGTATATCCAGAATTAATGATATTCTTAGGAATTGACTTGTGGTAACCCAGCTGTCAGTAGACCAATGTGTAAGTCAGATGCAACTTTACTGTCGAAGTATGTGCTCTCTCAAGGACTGAGATGCCACACTGGGGACACCCCGTTCCTGCTACAGAGGTTCTTGGGAGGCTCAGTTGCAAATCAGAATTTATGACCATGGACTCAGAGCTCAGTCAGTTGGATTGAAATGAGCAAACAGTTTGAAATATATGTCTGAAGCTCAGAGGAGATGCAGTATGGGTCTGGGCTAGACATATGTAATATGCTTAGAATAGTACCCATCGTGTGGACACTGCTCAATCATTGTAGACCATGCACCAAAGGCAGTGTGATAAAGAGTCATAGTGCCACATACGGGCCTTTCCACACAAACAGTGCCAGGGTGAGGTCGCCTGGCCCCGTTGTACTTCTGTTATAGTGGTACCAGTGGGCTTGCTTATCATCGTTAAATACTTGACTTGTGCAGTTGAAAGCCATTCTTTTGCCTCCATGCTCACCATAAATCTCCTGGTTATAATTTGGGTTTCCACATATTCTGCCTGATGGGATAGGATTTGTTAGCCTGAGGATTTGAAGTTCCCCTGCCGTCAGTATTTATTTCTAGTAAATTAATAAACTGCATCCTTAGCAGTAATTTGGGTTCCTGTGTGGTGTGGGAATGTGCTTATGTGAGAATAGGGTACCCTCTGTATTCCTCATTACAAGTGTTGATAGTGAATCTCATGAGCTTGGAGTGAGCACATCCCTGAGGAGTGTAAGGGCAGTTGGCTTGTTGACACAGTCAGGTTTCACTAGAAGGGCTGAGGGTGAGAGAAATGAGACTGCTTTTCCCAGAGTACCATCCTCTTGCCATGTCCTAGAAGCAGGCTTTCTCTTAAAATAATCCCTGCACAACATTGGCCCTAGAGTATTAGAGGCCACTGTATATTAGAAGCATCTTTTGGGGAAATAGTTTGAGAAAATACAGGGGTGGGCAAAAGTAGGTTTACAGTTGTGAGCACATGCAAGTTTATTCTTGCGTTATTTTTTTATTCTTGTATTATATATTTTTTCATATGAACAACTATAAACCTACTTTTGCCCACCCCTGTATCATAAAATCTTTTCTATCTTTGACCCAATAGTTTTCCCTAGTAAGAATCTCTCCAAAGGAAACCATCCAAATTATGAGAAAAATCTATGTGCATGAAGATACACGTCTCAGCATAATTTATAATCACCCCAAATTACTAGCAGCTGATACGTCCAACAATAGAAGTCATTATGTAAATTATATATCAGTTCAATCAACTCAGCTACTAAAAGGATAAAGATTGTGGCAATGTGGGAAAATGCTCTTAATTAATATAGAGAAAAAAAAAAAAGTCAGTAGCCATAGTACTTAAAGATTTATATTTAAACTAAGATTGTAACTATTAGAATTTATACTTTTTTAATTGGAAAAATATTAAAATACTAGAAAGGAATGTAAAAAAATGGTTATTGTATAGAGTGGTAGCGTAAGAGTCCTTTTAAATCTAGTTTCCATTCCAGCTCCTTAATGATGGTTTTTACTCTGTTCTCGTGTGTCTTGCAGTCACCACAGTAGGCAGCTTTGGTGGCATAACTGAGATACGCAGGCAGGAGGAGCCCAAGGGCAGAGAACTCCTCCGTAGACCAGCTGGCCTCCTGGTTGCAGCCTGGGCAGGGGCTCTGCCGCAGCTGTGTCAGTTATCCTGGCTTTGGGGGAGCAGTAGGTCTCAGGACTGCAGTTTTCAGCCTCCATTCTGGGCATGTCTTTGGATTCTTGATGAACAAAAAGTGAAAATAGACCATCGATGAGGTGTTTGCTAAATACTCTGCAAGGATGAGTCAACCATGCCATCTGCCTTGAGTCGCTCCCTTCTCTAAAATGGGCAGTGAACTTTGCCAAAAGTAGTAACACAGCCCCATCCCTTCTCAGGAAAATGCGTCCATGCAGGTCAAAACCCACACGCTGCTAAACACACCTGCTCTAAAACAGAGGTGGGGAAAGAAGGTGAACACATGACTGATTTGACAGGACAGATTGCCTGCTTGGCAGTCCTCTTGGGAAATGCTGGCACTTTTTCATAATTGCCTTCAACATGAGGACAGTATTTTGATAGATGCTGGGTTACAGTTGCTGAAGATTTCTGTATGGGATTATGCTCGGCAGATGGGACCTTAAGACCCAGGCCTAAGGAACTGTACACTTAATTAGTAACTTGGGTCTGGAGGGACTGGGATTTTGTTTTCTGTTTTATTTCTAGGGTTCCCAGAAGCGAGCTGTCACCACCCCAGAAACCCCCCTGACAAAAAGGAGGGTGTCTACTCGCAGCCCCCATCAGCTCCTCTCACCATCGAGTTTCTCTCCAAGGTATGAATTCAGCTGCCAGAAAGCCAACCTGCTCTCCCCTTTCTCTGGTTATCTGGTAGAGGCTAACTCCACCATTAAATTAAATTGGGGGTGACTTATTAAATGGGGGTGAACAGATACCTCTGCCGTGAACTGGCGGGAAAGCCTATTGCTCTCTACCCTCCCTGCTTTCTCTTCCTGTGTGGAAAATTACTGTTTCTTACAGTAATTAAGGAAACTCACTTTCCACCCACTTTTCTGGGGCTCATTTCCTAGATCAGGAACTGATATCTTCTACTGGAAACAACCTGTCTATTCAGAAGTCTGAGAGTCCGTCCAGCCCTGCCAGTGGAGGCGAGGAGCCTTTCACCTGCTTCTCTTAGTTCATGTGTTGTTGGGTTTCTTTTGTTTTCTTTTTCTTTCTTTCAATCTAAAGTAGTTATTTTTTTAAAAAGAAAAGCACATATCTTTGTTCATAATGTTGCATAACCTGTTTATTGTGCCACCTCAGGTTATAGCTAGTTTCTGAGAATTTTCTTGTCATTGTGAATCGGCACTGACTTAATTGCTGTTTTGTCCTCGCTGCCACTTCTGCACGCGAATCCACAGAGATCATATGTGATTTTTTGAAATCCATAAATGACACGTCTCATTGGAGAGTTTCATAGGTGAGGGCTGTGCTGCGTGGAAGAAAGGTCTGTAGGTGCTGCCACACCAGGATGAGGCTAAGGCACAGAACTGCTAACCATCTAGGGAAACGCTGACTGCTGGGGTCACCCCCTCAACTTGGGATCACTTCTTCCAGACAAGCAGAGCTTAAGATTTTTCAGCTCTGTTGCTTAAGAAAGGAGGTGATAGCAGTCGTTCGAGATGAGCCATCACTGGGTTCTGAAGGACAATTTGACTTTTGTGTGGTCCACTGCTGTTTTAGGAAGTTCTCAAACTTTTTAGAAGCGAACTTTCTAGACTTACAAGGGCGTCTTTGAAACTTTGTGTATAGAGATGGTTCTCGTAGGTAGGCCAGCACTACTACAGCGGTCGTATTCTCTGAACCAGCCGTCCTTTGAAACCTGTAGACCTTTGTACAGCTGACCTCATGTGAGCGTCTCAGTGCCTTAAAGGGCTGGCTGCCACGGATGTCCCACGGAGCTTGGCAGGGAGGGGCTCAGAGAAGTCGGATATGCTGCCTCATCATTTTTAAATGCACGCTAATAAAGCCAACATCAGAAACTGGTTTTGTAATTTATGAAAGTAACTTCTAAATTATTCAGGTGGAGGCAGCCCTGGAGATAGAGATAATTGAGTCATTTTCTGTAGCCTCTCTGGAAAGAAGGAATGATGGCACTGCTTGCAGTGGGGCCCCATACAACTGGTTCCTGCAGAGCTTTAGTGCATTAAGTAAGCCTGTTTGAAATAGGCCTCTCTGTAAGCTATGTTCACAACCAAAGGATCAGAAGACCTCACTGTCATCTAAGCAGATGGCAGCCTGAGTGTTCTCAGAGGTGTAATTCACCCCTGGGGAGTGGAAATGCGAGAACATGTCAGTTGAGCCTTGGAGATTGGGAATGTGTGTTCGCCAGCCTACCAGATTCATTACATCTGCACCTCCATGGACATTAGAAAGTTAATCATTTCACATAACTTCGTTGTTTTGTTGTTTCTACCTTGAACTGTGTTGTGAGGTAATATATGCATGCCCAGCAACTTTTGACTTGCCCTAGGTTCCAGGCTCTGCCAGTGTTCTGACAAGTGCTAAATATTCATGAGAAGGGAAAGAAAATGGTACTTGAAGCTTGCTTTTTAATCAGTTCTGAGTTTGGGTTTCGTTTTGCTTTGTTTAGTTTTAAGCCTGAAGAGCAACCTTTTAAAATGTCTGTGTCTCTAAACTTCTCTAACACGTTTGGTATTGCTCAACCTGGTACTCCTCAGCCCCTCATTCCTGAAATTCCTTAGAGGTCTGGGTATGTCCGACCCCATTAAACTGATTAGATTTATAAACCCCAGCTTGACATTTCTCCAATTCCCATTTCCAAAAAGTAACCTTGTTTTATTCCCCTCTCCCTTTATATATGAACACAGTAACATTAATCTCTTTTGCTTCCAATTAGTGCTACTCCCTCTCAGAAATACACCTCGAGAAATAACCGAGGAGAAGTGGTTACTTCCTTTGGCTCAGCACAGGGAGTATCTTGGTCCGGGAGAGGAGGAGCCGGTATCATCAGCCTGAAGGTCTTGGGGTCTCCAGAATCACTAACTGAGAGCTACAAATTCATGTTCCAGAAGCTCCCAGACATTCGAGAAGGTGATTGCTTTTCCCTTTGAAATTCTGGAGAATTTAAAACCACCTGGAAGGGTTTAGAGTAAGTAGCAAAGCTTCAGCTGGGCTGCAGAACAAGTTCCAGGCTTGCCTTTGAATATGTAGTTGGTAGATGTCCTCTGGGGCCCCTATTAGTGGAGGGACATGAGATGATATGCTCAGTAATTCTCCCAAGTGACCTCCCTTTGCCAAAGGAAAGTTAAAGGAAGAGCACAACCATCTCCCAGTAACAAGCCCTTGAACTATGTAAAGGAATCCAATGAAAGCGTTAGAGCAGGAACCTCTGTGGCTGTTTCCTTGTGAAGAGCGGACCATCTGCGTTGGCCTTGACTTGCCCTAATCCTCGCTGATGACCTGGGTGAAAGGAAGGCTGTGGGCTGGGGACCCATGCTGATACTCTCTGGGGTTGTGCCACATGATGCCCTGTGGCCAAAGTGAAGGCCGGTTTCAGCAACCAAGCATTGGGAAATTGGCTAGGGCTTTAGATCGCCTTCCTAAGCACCTTTCCTGCTCCTGTAAAATTACTAGCGTTAATGTTTGACAATGTGCTGTATTTTCTCTTCTGGGCAAGTGAAATGTCTTAAACACACTTTTTCGCCTCTGGGATTTCAGTTCTGACCTGTAAGATAGAAGAACTTGGCAGCGAACTCAAGGAACACTACAAGATTGAGGCTTTTACTCCTGTTCTAGTTCCCGCACAAGTAAGAGTTGTTCTAATTGTCCTTCCTATTTCATACTGTGTTTTTAAATCCGTGGTGAAAAGCATCCTCTTGCTTCCCTTTTCACTTCTTGTCTACATGCTAGTTAGAACAATCTCTCCTGGTTGGATTTGGTAAAACGGGTCCTTGTGAAGAAAGACTTATAAATGCTCTCTGGTTTTGTTACCAGATACAGTCATTGTCTTTGCGCTTGGGTTCGGGTCCTGCACATAGCAAGCAAAGATAGAAGGCCTTAAGCATTCGAGTCAGAATGTGAGGATGACAGCAAGGGTAGGAATTCTAGAAACAGTGACTCACAGTCTCTCCCTTGTTTGGTCTCTGTTGTTATGAACCAGCTGCTGCCAGTGGTACCTTTACAGCATGGTTTAACCTGGCATATGTGCCAGTGCTTTCTCTAGAACACTTTTTAATCAAAGGGGAGATGTGTTCTGGAAGAGTTTTATGGTTCCTCTGTCATATGTTTTCATTCAGAGAAGAATGGCCAGTGGGGAAGATAACGTGAAACCATGCGATATGAGGAAGTTTGGGAGGAAGTAGTGGAGGGGGGCAAGGATGCATGGTCTTGGGGGAAATGATTAGACTTCCTCAGTTTGCCCCAAGGAGTGAGAACAGGACAGAGGGAGCCACAGGAAGAGAAATTTCAGTTCAATTTAACTAAGGGCTTCCGGTTAAGAGGCAGTATGGTATGTGGTAAAGGATATGGCTCTGAAGCCAAACTTCTGGGCTTCAAACCAAGGTTTCACCTGCTGTTTGAATAGTGTCTCTATTGCTCATTTTCCTCATCTGTAAAATGGGTACAGTAATAGTATCCACCTCGCAGTTGTTGTGAGAACTAAACGAGTTAATGCATGTAAGCCTTTAGAACAGGCCTGGTATTTAGTAAGCTCAGTAAACATGAGCCGTTTTTAACAGCTATAGCTACCCAGAGATGCAGTGGGCTGCAAGTTCCCTTCACTAGAGATGCCCAAGCTTCAGATAGACACTTAGAGGGACTCAAACATTGACTGGGCAGACTGGATGCCCTTTAAGAGTTCTCGCACCGCCGAGAGCCAGCGATGGTGCTGGTCACCTCAGGGTCAAAATAGCACCCCACCAAAATAGTGTGTGTTGTTATCTGGGGCTTGCTCTGCTACTCAGCCTTTTGACTTCAGGTTTTGGGCCTCTGTCCCAAAGACTATATCGTTCTTTTGCTGCAACCTTCCTTTGGTAGGAGCCTGTCACACTGCTGGGCCAGATTGGCTGTGACAGCAACGGGAAGCTGAACAACAAGTCAGTGATTTTGGAGGGAGACCGGGAACATTCCTCTGGTGCTCAAGTTCCAGTGGATTTATCTGAGCTCAAAGAATACTCTCTGTTTCCCGGACAGGTGAGACGGGATGTGGGCATGCTCTTTATTCTGTAGTATGTGTGGTGGGCTGTGGCTCTAGAAATAAGCATTCTATCGCTGGCCTGCTGCTGCTCACTTTCGACCTCTGGTGCCATGAGATGTGACTGGAGCAAAGGCCCACGAGCGGACACCAGGTGGGGATTCCAATTTTCCCTGTGTGCTCTGACCTTGGCTCTGAAATTTGATGCCTAGGTTTGAACCCCATCATCTCCACCCCCTGAGGTATGTGATTATGGTTTTGTTAGTTAGCCAGGGTGTCCTCACCTGTATAATGGGACTTATCAATTCTTACCTCATAGGATTGTTGTAAAAATTACAACAATCTGTGTGAAGCATAATTATCATTACTAACACAACCCTCTTAATTTGTTTTCTAGAAAAATACTCCCAAGTTTACAATTACAAAATGGGAGTAGCTGGACAATACTTTCAATTATATCAAAATAATTTATTCTGGCCTCTCGTCTCTCTCCCGTTTTGCGATCCTGTGTTGCTTCTTGTCTTCCAGGTTGTAATTATGGAAGGGATCAACACCACTGGTAGAAAATTTGTTGCCACTAAACTCTACGAGGTACCACAGCGGTCCCCCACCCTCCCTCCAGGTTTGCCATGGGCACTGATGTGCAGTTTGTCCTGTTTAAGAGCCTGTTTCTTTGCTTCTCAATTTTCTGTCTCTAGAGGGGGAACCAGGGGTTAGCAAACTGTTTCTGTAAAGGGCCAGACAATAAATATTTTAACAACCACAGCCACAGACAACCTATAAACCAATGAGTGTGTCTGTGTGCCAGTAAATCTTCATTTACAAAAGTAGATGTTAGCCAGGTTTGTCTCACAGGCCGCAGTTTACCTGTCCCTGCTCTAGGCAATAATCTTCTGCAGATTTTCATAGACTGCAGGGAAAAGTAGCGGATACCCTGCTCTCCCCACTCCTTGTTAGTTAGCCAGGATATGCACACCCCACTTCCACTTTCTGCTGGGTGTTTTATGAGTTTTGCTGTGACCTCCCATTTTCTGGGCTTTGCTGCTCTGAGCAAATACAGAAAAATGGCAGGTACCATCGGCTCTATGAGCTTTTAGCTCTAAGGAGCAAGACACCTGCAAACACACATCCCTATTTGGTGTCCACCCCTTCCCTTACCAGTGGCAATGCCTGGGGCAAGAACTCAGTTTTGCTTTTCTCTTGCTTTTAAGGGTGTGCCACTTCCATTTTATCAGCCCACTGGAGAGGATGGAGGTAAGGTTTGGTTCAAACATTGGTTTGGGGTTCAGGTGTGCAGTTCCAGGGTCCTTATCAGAGGTTGGGCAGGAGACTTCATTAATTGAACCCTGTGGCATTTCTCCCTAATTGTCCTTTCTCCCACCACCCCATTATCTCTAATCAATACCTTATGATCTTTTCTGTCTTAGATTTTGAGCAAAACATGGTCCTGGTGGCCTGTGGGCCGTACACTACATCTGACAGCATCACATATGACCCCCTGCTCGACCTGATCACCATCATCAACCATGACCAGCCGGACGTCTGCATCCTGGTAGGAGGCTCTCCAAGGACAGTTTCTCTCGGGGAGGCACCAGTGAGAAAGCCGGGCAGTCGGCATTAGAAAAAGGTCTAGTGTGGATCTAAAATTCTTAGGAAGCATGTTAGATTCTCTTCCCTTTAAAAAATATTTTTTAGTTCTTCATCTACATCTTTGAGAGGTATACGTGATCTACAGGCCTCAGTGTAAAAGCCCAACATTTTCCCACCCTTCATTGTCCTTACAGGATTCTTGCCTCTGTCTCATTACTCCAAGTTCTGAACTATTCTCTTTTTAAACTCAAAGTATACTGTGTAGCAGGGTGGTAGATTTCCCTTGCTAGGTTTAGAAAGTTAGAAAAAAGCCCAGTATTGTAGGAGGCTGCACAGCTTGTTATGGGGCCATGGCGGCCTTCCTGCTTCCAGGGCTCAAGGCCTTCTGTTTGGTCTTGGCTGGGTGCCCCATCCCATCTGCTAACTGTCCCAGGCTCTACATGCAGCTTTGGCAGGACAGAGAGATGCTGAGAAAGAACTGCTAGGAGAGATTGCGTGAAGGCGCTCATGGATACACGTGGCTCTGATTTGGTACCTTTGTTTCTCGGCTTTATTTGCAGTTTGGCCCTTTCCTGGATGCTAAGCATGAGCAGGTTGAGGTAAGTGACTATGGTTGGGGGGAGGGTGGTGGATACTTACATTCAATTGAGCCCTCACTGTTATTTTCATCTCTTGGAGTTACCCTGGATCTAATCCCTGTAGCTAATCAGAAAGACATTGTAGCAGGGCATTTTTAACAAAGATACGGAATTTGAGGGCTTCATTTCACCAGAATACAAGGCCATTTGGAAGTTAGGGGAGGGAAATGCAAACACATGAGTCCTGGTATTTCTTTGTGACACCTGACACTAAGGCCTGAGAGCACCCACACAGATGCAGGTGTCCTGGCGTCATGGAGCTGCACTGGGGAGGTACCTTACTGCCGCTTCCCTCAGCTCCATGGCCCACGTCTTGCTCTCCTTTGATGCACTAACACAAATGGCCCTTCCCTGAACATCTTCTACCAAAACGCTCCTCCTCTTAGTGTTTCAGCTTATATTCAAGGAGATTAATTCTTCCCCAGTCTCCTTTCCTGTCCCCCACTGGACTCAGCTCCTTGAGGACAGAGATCTGTCCTCCATTGCATCCCCTTTAGCTCTTTGCCCAACAGCTGGTACATCATGTCATCTAATGTTAAACAAGTGAGTCAACACCAAATGTCCACCCTCTAAATCTTCTGCTGTTCTTACAGAACTGTCTACTGACGAGTCCATTTGAAGATGTTTTCAAGCAGTGTCTACGAACAATCATTGAAGGGACACGAAGGTCAGAATTCAGAAATGCTGCCTAGGTTTCTCCTGGGCTTCCTTCACATTAAAAAACTGAAACTGTTCAAAAGGAGGGGTAGTTCCCATCCTTTTATCTTTTGAACTAGAGATCAGCTGGAACTCTTGAATTTCAAGTGCACAGACGCTGCATTAAGAGGCGTCTTTGTAAAACACAAAGATAAACACACTTGACTTTTGCTCTTCCCTTGCTCTCACTCTGCTTCCTTCCTTTTCTCACTCCTGTTCATGTACACTCATATTCCATGGGAATCTTCTCAGCATGATCCTGAGAAGTGTTTGATGACTTACACAGCAAAATCTCAAGAGGTGCTAGACATTTTGTTGTGTGAGTGATTGTTTTGGGTGAACCCGAGTCCTTCCCTGAGTCACTGCTTCCCCACGTTTTGTGGGACGTCACCAATGTCCAGAGCAAGTCCTGGTAGAAACTCGGGGGTGGGGATCTTGAATCCCTGCCATAGACCAAGGGGAAGGATCTGTGGCAGATCACAGGGTGATGAAAGGGCTATGCAGTTCTGATTTGAGAGAAAAGGTGCTATTCCAGGAACAGTCACTTCCTGTCGCTTTTTCTCCGGTGCCAGGTTTGAAAGAGATTGGTGTAGGTGATGGATCTTCTCAGGGGACTTGCTTGCCTGTAGCCGAGCTCATAAAAAACAAACATTCCTGAGGCTAAGCTTTTAAAAACAAGGCTGTAACAAAGGTGGTTTTTAAAACAAGATGTATAATCTTCCACCCCTTGGCAGTGAGAACTGATCCCAGAGTCGATTAGCCAGAATACTACCTTCCTGTACTGGCAGTGTGGCCAATATGATGGGCCTCACAGACTGGGAAAAACAGCCCCTAAATTACCCCAGAGTTGGGGGGCTTGAATCGGGCAGTAACAGGCTGTGACTGGAACTGCCCCTTCCTTCCTCCCTCCCTCCAGTGAAGATGACACAGTGCTTTCCCTCTTGCCTCTCACATTTGCTGTGACCCTGAGAATTCATCAGACCTGGAGAGCTCAGGAGATAAACCCCTGAAAAACAAGAGCAGAGTTGGTGTCCCTGTGCTGTCAGCCATGAGGTCTCCTTGGGGATAGGGAGGGGATGTGTAGCAGTGTGCCAGCGCTGCTGGGTGCTTTCAGTGTGAGATTGGGTTCTGTTTGGGTTCCTTGCCCCATGTGGTATTGACAGCAGTGATGCAAACAAAGAACAGACCAGGCTTTGTTACCATGGGCAGCACCCAGCGCCACCAGGCACTTTCATCTGCGGCCAGGGTGTGCCTGCGAGTGGGGAGGCTGCCCCACGTTTTCCCAAACAGTATATAAATGGTCCTCGTTTGGGGAATTTCTTTTTATTTCTGAGAGGTCAGAAATGCAGAGCATTAAGCAGATTTATCAATAAAAACCAGAACCAGTGAGGAAGCGCCTCCTCCCTCACAGAAGCCTAGCCTGTTGGAGGACCCTCCCAACGTGATATATGAGGTTGTGCAATACTCAGCATAGTTGGAATTTTCTTTCAGATCCCTCCCCCTGCAGCCAGTCTATAACCAGGAGTGCGAGAGCTGTTTCCTCCTTAACTATTGCTCGTCCAGTGCCTACACTGAAAGAGAGCAATTCCATCTCTTAAAGTGACCAGCTGTGCTGTACCTTCGTGTCCATCGTAAAGTGAGCCCTGGGATCTGGAGCACAGATTGTCTGTTCAGGTTACCCCTGGCCTGTTTGCCAGACTCTGGCACCCAAATCGGTAGACTTGGGGGATTATAGTGAACTTTTCAGTGTCAAGGGGACTGTAACTAATATGCAGAGTTCCTTTGATCTCAAGATTCTGATTTTTCTGTTGCAGAAGTCTCAGTTCACATGATCAGGCATCACAAGTGATAAGTGTGACAACAATCACCAACACCTTGATCCTATATGACACAACTTTGGGCATTAGCTACATTGGGGAAGGCCACACATTTTAAGCAAGCGAGGGAGCTGGCAGTGAGAGTTAATGGTGGGTTTTAAGCCTCCAGAGTCGTGTTTTACGCCTATTTGGTTCATAATAGGCCCCTCCGCCAAGCACAGCTGAGGGAACCAGGAAATGGGGCTTCTTTCTTTTCTTCTTTTGTGTGTCTGGGGAGGGTAACAGTTGGCTCCCAGAGTTAAAGGTTTTTACGTCACTTATACGTTGTAACCCTAGAGATTCTCCTTCTGCCTCCATCAAAGGAAACATCTGTCAGCTATGCTTTTGCTATTGCTGTTAAACATGGCTTTCATTTTTACAAGATTATCTGCTGAGAAATAAGAAGAGGGCATTGCTCCCCTATGCAAGAGGGAGGGGCTGGCTCTGGGAGAAGCCAGTCACATTTCCCCGTGGCTCTGAAGACATCTCTGTCCTGGATGTTGGATTTGTGGCCCAGTGCTTGGTTAGTAGGAGGTCATGGTCTCCAGGTCTGATTAGATGCTGGGTCCCTCCCCAGGCAAGAGCCCTGTCTGGAGACTGACGCCTTTAAGCCTCATCTCTTCACACAGTGTGAAGAGTCAGGACTTTGGTTTCAGCTCTGGCTCTGAGGCTCTGATTCTTTGCTCAAATCCTGTCTTTCTAGATTTTTCTAGATCCCAATTTCCTCTGTGTTTTCTACCAAACAGTAGTCCCAGCTCCTCATCACGCAGAGCCAAGAGAGGACCTCCTGGGCGACCTGCCCCAGGTCAAGGCAGATATATGTGAATGAGCACACACTGTCTTCCTCTCCAGTGTCCCATGGGAAGTGGTGCCTCTCCATAGGAGAGTTCAGTTCTGAAATTCTTCCCTGGAAGTAGGGTCTTGTACAAGCATTGACGGTTTGCTGTCGTCCACCTGTCCTCACTTACCTGCGCCCATTTTTCTTCCTCTTATGATTTTTTGGCAAAGTAGCTCCGGCTCCCACCTCGTCTTTGTCCCATCGTTGAGAGATGTGCACCATGAGCCTGTGTACCCACAGCCTCCTTTCAGCTACTCTGATCTGCCTCATGAGGACAAAAAGGTACCAGCGTCCCCTCGACCAACAGGCAGCATGTAACTGAGTGTGCCACAGGTGACCCAGCTCTGTCCCCATACTGGAGGGTGAAGATGCCTTTTTGGGGCATGCACAGGGCCTGAATCTCAAGCTACTATTTTTAACAGGCAAATGTGCTTGGAATTTACATTGGTTTGGTCTCCCTCTCAGTGGGCTCCACAGCCCTTGAAGACCCCCACTTTCATGAAGAAGTTTCTAGCTTGGTGTGCAAATGTGCGTCTCAACCCCTTCTCATTTTAGCGAGTGCGGTTTGTGTCTGAGCCCTGCAGTCTCGCTATAAATGGTGTGGTCTTCGGCTTGACGTCCACTGACCTGCTGTTCCACATGGGGGCCGAGGAGATCAGCAGGTGAGGCTCATGTGCCCGCCCAGCAGGCTGCATGGCTGGCCTCTCACCACACCCTTTGGCCACGTGAGGGGAGCAGTTGGAGCCTTTGTTTCTGTTGCCACTTGTTTTCTACAACATTTGAAACTCCAAAGAACCATGTCTGTCTGTCTGCATTTAATTTATAGTCCTAGAAGTTCATCTGCTTTTCTCCCCACCCAACATTTGTGAGCTAAACAAGAGTGGTGTCCCCATTGGTGGAGCATGACCTGTGAACTTTGAGGCTGTTCTCCCCACCAGAGCAGTGTGTAGCTCTGCAGAGAATCAGGTGCAGCCAGATCTGTGCAGTGTAGGTTCAGCAGTTGTGTGAATATGGGTGTGTGCTTGTTGGCTGAGGTTTGAGTTGTGAGGGTCACCCGGCTACACGCTCCCTCGCTGGTGCAGACTCTGCATGCTCTTGCACAGTCCGGTGCTGGCTGCCTTGGTTTTGATCACAGGGGATTCCTGCTCTTTTCCTTTTTCACCCAGTGTCCTGCCCCCCTTATGTGGGAACAGAGTGAGCTATTTGTGGGTGGGTCTTTAAACTTTCCCAAAGGGACCCTCTTGTCACTGTGTCTTGGCCATGTGGCCTCTCTCCAGTTTATTAAATCCTTGATTCCACCCCAAAGAGAAACAGAAACTGAAAAACAAGCTTCTGCATTCCATTTCTTTCTTATCTGCTTTCCCAGTTCTTCTGGAACTTCAGACAGATTCAGCCGAATACTGAAGCACATCCTGACACAAAGGAGGTGAGCCTTTTTCCTAGAGTGACTGGCTGTGGGGAGGGTGCTCTGGGCTCATGGAGCTCTGGCTGACTTGATTCCCAGAGTCTTCCCCTGGCAACTATGAGGGAACTCCACCCTATGATGACAAGCCTGTGATCTGTCCCCTAAACACAGAAAGGAAAGCAAGACAGTGTGTGACAGAATGGAATCCAGGGCATAGAGGGCATCCAGCTGGGAGGGGTCCCACCAGCCGCTGCTGACTGTTTCTCCATCTCCGTAGCTACTACCCGCTGTATCCTCCCCAGGAAGACATGGCCATTGACTATGAGAATTTCTATGCCCATGCCCAGCTGCCTGTCACCCCAGATGTCCTCATAATCCCGTCAGAGCTCAGATACTTTGTCAAGGTAAGATTGAGCTCTGCTTTTCCCAGACAGGCCAGAACCAATCTTTGACTTTCCCTCCTAGACCACCGGCACTCACTCTGCAGGGGTCTGCTGACAGGGATGGTGGCCTCGCTTCCTGGGAGAGGTGGTAGGGTTAGAAAACAAATCTGTTAGTAATCGCTTAAGTAAATGATGTCCCCTTGCTCCCCTCTGCCCCTGGAGCTTAGTGCTTGGTCAGCCCAGCCTGGGAGCCCTGGAAGCAAGAAGGGTGGCCCTCAAACAATGGTTCTCAGACGGGGCCCTGTGGGGGTGGCCACACATGCGCTTGCCTGCCCCTGCCCCTGAATTCTGATCTGACCTCCAAGTGGCCTTAGCTCTGAGAACTTGGAAGATGTGTTAGGGTGCTTATCTCTGGCACTGAGGCCCGCCCACCCGGGATTGGGTCACTCGCTGGACTCCACCAAGCCAATCCCCTCTTGCCAAACCAAAGCCAATTCAACCTCAAGTGGTAAACTTTTTCACGTTGGAAAACAACCAGGTCAGTTGTGTCTCCAAGTTTGGGAGCTGAATGTTGCCCTGCTCACTTACCTCTGTTCTGTTTCGGAGACTCCAAAGGAGCTCAGAGTTTTCCAATAATAAGTTCACATATTTTGCTTAAGATGTGTTTGGTTGCCTTCCTTTCCATTTAATAAAACCCTCTCTGGTATCTGTTAGATGATTCCAACTTTGTCACATCAGTTCTGTTAGTTTTGGCCTTTCCAACCCACTCTCCTCCTTTCCTTTCCCAGGACATCCTCGGCTGTGTCTGTGTGAACCCCGGGCGCCTCACCAAAGGACAGGTGGGGGGCACCTATGGCCGACTCTACATCAGGAGGCAGACCACGGATGGGGAGAGGAGGCAGAGTCCATGTGTTGCCTCCCAGGTGGTCAGGATCTGAGGCCTTGGGTACTTTATCGTCTCCCACTCTGCGGGCTCTCAAAGGCACCAAGAGCCCAGGAGCAGCCCTCTGACAAGATCCTAACTGTTGCAAGGTGCAGGAGAGGAGGCAGCCGGCTGTGGGGAGAGGTTGTGGGGAGTGGGCCCAGCAGGGAAGGCACGTGCAGCTGCACGCTCCAGCTCCGAGTGAGCTCTGGGAGGACACTTTGGCTTCTGATGTGCTGGGTGCAGAGTGAACTGGCTGTGGATGCAGCATACTCAGGAAAAGCAAGACAGCTTTGTGATTTTCTACATGAATCAGACGCAGCCAACCTTTGGAGAAATAAAAGTAAATTCTGAGTGTAACTTCTGGGTCTAAATCTTTCTTCTCTTCTGTTCTGGTAGTGAACAGAGAATGCTGCCTCCTTGACCAGTGTCCAGAGAGGGCAGTGTCTGTCACCCTGGCTTTCTGGCCTGCCCCAGCCTGGATCCTCCTTAGCTGCTCCCAAGGCCCCCATGGCCTCTTGCTGAGGAGATGTGCTGGGCCCAGGCCTCGGAACTGGGCTGCAGAGCAAGCCGCTGGCTGCGTGCCTGGCCCTCCCAGCGCAGCCCTCACATGCACACTGTGGGCCCAGCCTGACCTCTCCATCTGGAGGGGGCGGCCTCAAGGAACTGTGCCAGTGCTGGATTCCCCGGAGCTGGCTCCGCCAAGCTGCACAGCAGCTCAGCGCCTGCCTATAGCCCAGAACACTTGGTCAGGGCCAGGCCTTCCAGGATCCCCAACACTCCTGCCCGTGGTCCTGGCATGAGGGAAGGCTGCCCCTGGCTAAACGTGTAGTGGGTTTCTGCCCTAAACTGGCAGACTGTCCTGCCTCACGTGCCAAAGCCAAGACAGGAAACCCCCAGCTATTGGGCCAAGGGAGCAGCGGGGGCTGATGCCTGTGTCTTGAGTCAGAGATAAATAGGTAACCTAACAGTGCCCAACCTTTGCCTCCCATCTCTGACAGAATCAGTGACAGATCCGATGGGACTTGGGTAAAGCTGGTCTCCCTTTGAAAACAAGCAGCTGCTGTTGTGCTTCATTCGTTTTCTAAGCACCTCCTCTGAAGACAAGAATTGGAGACAAGCCCCAGCTTGGGAAGTTGATTTTCTCTTCTCCCAGAATTCCCCATATGCAAAACACCTGGCGGTGATCCAAAGGGCGACGTAACTTATCAGCCTCTGGACATGGCATTTTGGAGCCCAGGTCCCTCTCCCACAACCTGATACAGTTGCCCCAGTTCAGGAATGTCATTTATATTTCCACCAAGCCCAGTGTCAGCTCAAAACCCACCCCTCCCCTCCTTGGGAAACCCTTGCCTGGGAAGATTAGCCAACAAGCCCTCAGCCATGATAAGCCTTATCACGTGAGCCCATGTGTGGCTCTTGGGAAGCCGACTCTTGGCAGTTACTTTCATGTTGCTTCTGAAGAAGCCCTGGGAATGGCAACATCTTGGTGCCCGCTTGGCAAGGTCCAGAGAGCCCCGTCTCCTTGACAGACTCAGGAGGACCCAGAGGCTGGGCGGGAAGGGGAGGACTGGCAGAGGGGAAGGAAAGAGCTGTATCCTGGGGGAGGCCTAGGCAGGGCTCGCAGGCCCTTGTGCGCAGCCTCCCAGGGAAGAAAGCTGGAGCCCGCCTGGAGCGAATGGGATCGAGAGCCGTTGCCTGGATACAAGTCGTGTGACTTGGAAATGATCCACGAAGGTCAGAGTAGGCATTTAAAACTCAAACAAAAAGCAGGGTGTGAAGCCAGAGAGCAGACAGGTCTGGGAGAGGCACGCCTCGGCCACCAGAAGGTTCCCTTGTCAGGGAGTCGGTGCCCAGCAGCTGCCAGCTGACTGCTCCTGGGCCCATCTTCAGCTGAGTCACTGGTTTCCTGACACGCCATCCCTCTTACTCATGGGGCTCTTGCTCCCACCTGCCCTGGGGCATAGGACCTCTGACTGAAGTTGGGAGGGTTGAAGAAGTGAGGAGCTGGGCTTGGACTCCTGGGACCCACCTGCCTCAGATTCTTGGTAGACTTTCCCTGGTCCTGGTTGTGCCTTGTGTCCTTAAGACACGAGCCCCAAGGTGAAGCTCATGCCAGGTTGCGCCTTTCATGCCTCTAAGCCCCAGCCCTGCCCAGCCCTGTCCTCTGCCTCTTCAGTCTGGTGGAGGAAACTGAGGCTGCCCTCCTTCACCCCATGGCTGCCTTTTAAGATTCAGGCTCTCTCTAGAAAGGGTAGGAGTGAGCTGCTGAGGGAAACAACAGCTGCATCTGGGGAACTGAGGTGACGGGGGGACCGGGGCTGAGGGCAGAGGTAGGGCCATGACCACTCCTCAGGCCCTCCATTCTACAGCCTCTTCGGGCTTGGTGTTTCCTTTCCCTGACCTCGGGTCACCCAGCCCGGCTCAGCCCAGCCCTTCCTCTTCCCCTGGTGCTGGGAGTAGCCATTTGGGCTGGCTTATCATTTCTCTGTTTGCTACACATTTCCTTCCCCTGACTCCTGGGCTCCTGGCTGCGCCACCTCAGAGCCAGTCCTGGACGGAAGCATGTGGCCTCTGTCTCCAGACTTCAAGCCCTCTAACGAGACATGAAAGTCCTTCACCGACTAGGGTGGTCAGATTTTTTTTTTTTAGCATTTTAAAATTTGTTATTGAGATATAATATAAAAAGAACATAAACTTCACCATTTTAATGTGTACAGTTCAGAGGTTTCTAGTATATTCACAATATAGTGCAAACATCACCACTATGTAATTGCAGAATATTTTTATCACCCCAAAAAGAAGCCCCAGACCCCTTAGCAGTCACTCACCATTTCCTCCCACTCCATCCCTTGGGAACCACGAATCCACTTTCTGCCTCTATGCAGTTGCCTGTTCTGGGCACATCATATACACGGAATCATGCGATACTTGGTCTTCTATTCCTGAGTGGCCAGACCTATCTCTGCTCCCTCTGGGACTGTCCTGGAAGTAACAGGGCCCCAGAGGTCAGGGGCTGGCCTGCCCTTGGACCCAACTGGGCCAACAGCCAGCTCCAGATTCTCCCACCCAGACCCACCCTCCTCGGGCTTCAGGCTCCTCCCTGCCCAGAGCCTGCCTGACAGCTGAGAACCCTGCAGCTGCCCCAGCCCAGGGGCCTCTCAGAGGTCTCAGGAACAGCTGCTACCCTGTGACCCTGCTGACCTCTGATCCCTGCACACTGCTCCCTGAGAGCCCACCGGCCTGGCCTGCGGGGCCCAGCCGAGCCTGCCTCCTCTGCCCACTCCCATGTCTTCCAGGGCCCAGTCAGCAGGCCCCCCCGGAGGAGTGGGAAACAGGAGAAGCAGGGCAGCCGAGGTGGGCTCCGGGCCCCGCAGCCCCGCAGCCCCGCAGCCCCGCAGAGGCAGTGGCCGTCCCATGACAAAGCAGGCAGCATTGGGAGGCGCTCTGGGCCAGAACTAGAAGGCAGGGCCATCCCTGATCCTACAGCTTCTCCGAGGCCTTCTTTCCTGCTGAGGACACAAGTCCCCTTCAAATGCTCTGCCCTTAGAATATTTTCTGTAACGGTTACCTCTGGGGATGGTGTCAAAGGGCTAGGAGTCAGGAGCTTAGAGATTTCTTTGTTATGTCCATTCTCATGTCCTGTTTGAAATCTTTTGCCATGAGCATGGATGACTTTAAAAGAAAGAAAAATAGCCCAGCCGGGCGTGGCTCAGCGGTTGAGCATCGACCTAGGATCTAGGCAATCAGGGTTCGATTTCCGGTGAGGGCACATGCCCGGGTTGTGGGCTACAACCGATCAATGACTCTCTCTCATCACTAGTGTTTCTATCTCTCCCTCTCCCTCTCCTTTCCTCTCTCTGAAATCAATAAAGATATATTTAAAAAATAAAAATAAAAGAAGGAAAATATATATGTATATATACAACTCCCCCACCCTCCGCTCCTCAGCTCTCCATATCCTGTCATGTTTGTAACGTGCTCCCCGGGAGTCCGACTCATACGAGCTGCCGTTTGTGCGTCACAGCGAGGCCACTAACTCCAGGCTCTTCTACTCCCTGAACCCTTGTCTCCAGAACCCCCTTCTTGCTACCCCCGGCATCCTGCCATTCATTCATTTATTCACTCCTTCACTGGGCACCTGCTATGTGGCGTGCACTCTGGGGAAACAATGGTGACGGTCCAGTGGGGGGCACAGAGAGGACGGGGGTCCAGGATTTCTCCAAGGGTATGACAAGGGGACTTGGCATCGACTGGGGTCTGGAAATTCTTCCTGGAGCAGGAGACAGCACAGCTGAGAGCAGGGTGCGCCGGAGGTGGCAGGCCAGGGAAGAGTGAGCAAGGGGACTGCGGGGCTGGGCCCGCTGGTGGCCGGAGGTGGCTGTCTGGGACAGAGGGAGTGGAGAGGTGGCTCGAGGCCTGAGAGGCCAGCAGGAGCACTGCCCGGGTTCATCACACTGAAGCAGTAGCAGGGGCATGTGGGCGTCAGTGGCTGTCGTGCATCCATCACAATGTGTGGTGGGGAACAGGCAGGCAGCACATCATCTTCACCCCCCAAACCCTCTGTCCCCCTTGGTGGCCTCCCCTGCCCACCTTCATCACCCAAGTCATCACCCTGGACTGGCCTGACCCCCCTTCTCCTCCCTCCATGGTTCTGGTCTGTCACCAAATTCTAATATTTCGACCTCATTATCTCCAGCTCCGGCTTTTCCACTGCGGTTCAGAGGCAAGTTCTGTCTCTCTCCTGAAGCAACTGTCCCCAAGGTGTCCCCTGCCTCCAGTCAGGCCTCCCTCCAGGTCGCCCTCTCTGAAGAAACCTTCCCAAGTGCAATTCTGCAGCCAACTCCTGGGAAGGAAATGTGAAGAGCCCTGAAGCCTCTGAGAAGGACCAAACTCACTTATCTTGAGAGAAGCACAAACTAAAACTACGCCGAGGTTCCTTTGGTTCTGTTTAGCGTTTACCTTTCCGACTCTCGAAAATCAAAAAGGCTGAGAACCAGGTGCTGGTGAGGCTGAGGAGACACAGGCTGTGTGGTCCATGCCGGGGGCCTGGCACTTGGCACTTCCCCTGACAAGACAGGCAGGCAGAGCTGACCAAAGGACACCTGCACATGCCCTTTGACCCCCAAGCCCCCAGGACCTTATTCCACAGCTGTGCTCACACGCGCGTGAAACAGCATTTGTACAAGATGGCTCCCTGTGGTATAGCTCGTCATAGGAAAGGGCTGGGGACAACCTAAACGTCCATCAGCTGAGAACTACTTATGTCAGTTACGGTGCCCTGGAATACTACACAGTCGTCAAAAAGTAAAATTCGGGACACACTCTGTGTACTGATATGGAACAGTCATAAATATAAT